CTTTCTAAAAAATGATACCCTTGATATTCGGAAATATGTATTTATGTAAACACATTCTCTGAATTTCAGCTGGGCCTCCATTCAGAGAACGTTAAACCGAGGATTGCCTTCATATCAGCGAGAAATTGGATTTGAGTTATCTACGACATGACTCATTATGGCTCTATGTTATGCTTAGCTTCTTTTACTTTAACTTTTTTAATGTGTTAACTTGTTAGCTGGATGTACATATACATGTTTCAACATCTCCAAAATTAGGTAGTGCTTTATAATAATCTCTTGTGGTTGCATGTGCTTATATACTCTTCTATGTTAATGCGTTTAGTGTAATTTAAATTTTGTGAATCAGAATCTTTCTAACTTTTGTGAGTCAGGCGAACTATATTCAGTTACGCATATCATACATAACAACATACTGATATTGACTCTTCATTAATCTTTTTGAGTCGTGCTTTGCTGATGCATTGTTGTTGTTGTTGTGCTACTGAGCTTGTTCCTGAGAAGATTGGTGTTGCTGTTGGTGCAATTGATGCATGTTTATCCGAGCAGCAGAGTGGGACTGAAACATCTGGGTGTTCAATGAAAGCTGTTGGAATTGGTATGCTCTCCCACATAATTAAAGCCATTGAAGTCTTCAAACTTTATACTTCAGCAGCCAATGCTTCATTCAAGGCTGTTATAATAATTATGATATGAAATTAGTATAGTATCACATAATTAGACTCCCACATGTGATAGTATCAACTCTCAATTATACTTCAAAATGTGCTTCTCATTAAAAGGATACTAAAAATATCAAACTTTTGGTTATATTTCAAAATCAGCAATAGGCAGTCAAGCATCCAAAGAAGAAATGATAAATAAATACAATAAAAGGCCAAACTAGTGCTTGAACTATTCTCCGTCAAAATGGATTAAAGGAAAAAGATATCACAGCTCTTGTTTCGACAGAGAGTGTAAGAAGAACTAGTATTAAATTGTTCCTGGAGTAAATACTCTTGCCCTGCAAATCTGGACTTAATGTTCAGTAAAACAAGTGTTACTAGAAAATTAATAGTTCTGATAAGCAGAGCTAGTATTAATAGTTCTTTGAGTATAAATAGTTTATAACAAGTTTAAATGTTCAATTAAACTTTAAACTTTATTTGTTTAATTTAATTATTATAGTATTTTTTGCCAAGAATATTTATATTTTTTGGTATTATGTTGAAAAAAGTTGACGTCCTGTTAATACTTTCAGGTAAATAAAGTTCCTCTCTTTGCAAAGAGTTTGTCATTCTCATTCTTCGGAAGGAAAGAAGTTTGTATATCAAGATTATTCTTACTGTCTTAGTTTCAAGAATTTAGGCCATTCAATGAAGCTCTAGTAGCTTTGTATTTCACTCAATGATATGTATTTAATGAACAATTTGTAATGAAGTTTTAGTATTAGTGATTGATATGTACTTATCTACTCCACAATTACTTTAAAAGAAGGTAACATTTAGAGTTATATTTTCTTTTACAAGGTAAAATCCGGTTTTCTGGTTTTCAAATGAAAACCAATGTATTTTTTTTGTTCTGGTAAAGACTTTTAACGACGGTTATTTAGAAAAACTGTCGTAGTATTGTCTCCTAAAAAACATATTCCACGTCAGTTATCAACAAAAAACCGTCGTGGTAGAGTTTTCTAGAAACTTAATTCACGACGGTTATTTAAGAAAACCGTCGTAAAAAGTAATATATAACGTCGGTTTTAAAATCGACGTTAAATGTGTCCACTTTTAACGTCTCTCACTTAGACGTCGGTTATAAAACCGACGTGAAATGTGAAAAATAACCGACGTGAAATGTCTCTTTTGTAGTAGTGAATTTGGTCAAACAAGCTAAAAGTTGGTTGATAAGCCATTTGCCAAACATACCCATAATATTTAGTTTTCCATCCGGTTCTAAATCATCTTTACACTTTCCTTTTTTGTCAGTACCAGATTAAACTTTACACTTCCTTATTTGTCTTACAAATCTACAGTCTACACCAAACAGTGCAAAACAGTGCCAAATAGTGTACTCTACAGTAAAGTCAAATTTATTTCCTTAACATGTGTGAAGTCAAAGTGTAAAGATGATTCAGAACCGGAGGGAGTATATAATAAAACAATTTAACACAATTACCCCACTAATTTTTGTGGTTTGTCCACCGGATGTAAAAAACAATTTAACATACTCCGTAATTAATATAGAATTTTCATATTATATATATTATTGTTATTAATTATGTGGAGTGTTTTTTTTCTCTTAATGTAGACATAACATATAGAGTTTTGGGACATCGGTGATGTAACAAATTATTATACGCACTATGGGTATTATTTACCTTGTTCCAAATCTTCTCATCTACTACATAGTACATTTTATTAGGTACAACTTCTACCACATCTCTTTTGAAACATCAACACTATAAGATATTACCACTATGATATTGTATTTGACTATTTTTTTATTCTATTCTGTGCATGGATGAGAATCTAGTATACTTAAATGAATAAGTTAAATGGGAACAACAAAGATTTCAAAATGAGCATAATGAAAAATAACAAATGAGCATAGACTGTTATAAAGTGAGCATGCATAAAACAAAAAATTCACGGCTCTCACTTATGTCTCTATGTACAATGCTCACAGTAAGCTCTACATGGTATACATACAACAAACTATATCATACAGCTAGTTGTATCATGTGGACAGTGCAACCGAGTTTTTATTGCCGTTGTGCGCTCACCACCGATGACCTAGACGAACTCCTCACCGGCTCACGCAAGATGGACTCACTGCCGCTTTCACCTAGACGGATGGCTCGCCACTCGCACCCAGACAGACAACTCGTCACTCGCACCCAGACGGATGACTCACTGCTCGCACCTATAAGGACGGCTTGCCACTCGCACCCATAAAGACGACTCGTTGTTCACACCCGGACAGTCGGACACTCAACTCGCCCCAGGCGCTCCAGCTCACGGCTCTCTGACTCCTTCTAGCTGACGAAACTCATGTGACCACTGCAGGTCAAATTCGAGATTGCGACGACCAAATTGGATATTGATCACATAGTCTCAATGCTCAATAGTAGAGAACATGATATTCAATGAAGAGTTTCAATGGTCAATGAAGATGTTTGGTCACATAATCTCAATTCTCAATAGTAGAGAACACGATACTCAAAGAAGATGTTTTGATGCTCAATAATTTTGAAACATTATACTCAATTGCCGAGTTCTAATGCTTAATAAAGGAGACTTGATGATCAATGAAAATGTCTTGATGGTCAATGAAAATGTCTTGATGCTCAACTAGCAGAACTTAAGATTTTTTATGAATGTATATTTTAAAAGTATAGTATCAAATTGGATTCACATAATGGAATTCATAGGAGTTGATTATAAATATAATTTTAAAAAAATTATAAAAAATAAGAAAAAAGTGAATTATGAAATAGACATCACGATGCTCAATATTATACTTCTAATACTCAACATCATAGGTTTGATGCTCAACACATATACATTGATGCTCAATTAACAAAAACCATGATTTTCAATTAAAACTACAAAAATACTACCAACGGTATAGTTTATGTTGTACAACCTACAACATATCCTACAACCTATGATACAATATATGTAGGGGTGGGTTCGATTTTTCGTTTCGGTTTTGACCAAAAACCAAACACGGAACCAAAGTAGAAAGTTCGGTTCGGTTTCAGTTTTATATTTCAAAACATCAAACTATGATTTGATTGGTTCGGTTTGTTTCAAGTCCAGTTTCAGATTTTCGATATTGTTTACTAAAAAAAATTCATTTGATTTAATATGATACGATAGTTGGAGGGAACAAACATATTACATAAAAATGCACTTATATTAGCTAAAATAAAATTAAAAAGATATGAAATAAATACATCTTGAATTATACGAGTATGCGGGAGAGATAAACACATATATATTCTTAATTTACATTGTTTGTGACTAGTTTTGAAAAAAGTTCATGAATATATACGACGTTCTATGTAATACAATTAGATGAATATTTATTTGTTCTATCAATATGAAAAATTTAAGTTACATAAAATCAAAATTAATTTATAGTAATAACCACTAAAAACATATCACAATCATGCAACAAAGTTACAACATACGTTTTTTTACTCCGGGGGAGGGGGGGGGGGGGGGGGGGGGTCTGGGGAGGGGTTGGAGTAATCAAGGTTGAAACTCATTCCATTGAGCTTCAAACCCTTTATGTGCTTAGCGGGTTTCAAACTCGAGAGTCGAGACCTCCCACTAGGCACGTTAACCTCACAACCAGCTGGACTGGAATGCTTGGTTACAAAGTTACAACATGCATATACATATTAATATAGGTATACATCAATATACCTATATTATTATAAACTAAACTAAACACAAACCAAGCATTCCAGCCCAGTTGATTGTGAGATTACCGTGTCTAGTGAGAGGTCTCGAGTTCGAAACCCGCTAGACACATCAGGGTTTGAAACTCAATGGAGTGAGTTTCAGCCCTGATTACTCCAGGCCCCCCAGGCCCCCTCCTCCGGACGCCTCCTGGAGTAAACAAAACATATCACTTAAAAAAAACTAAACAAAACCCAATACAAAAAATAGTTTTTAATTAATTTGGTTGATTCAGTCATGTTAGATTTTGAAGTGTAAAACCAAAATCGTACCAAGCACCTACAGTTGAGCTCATTGTTTATACTCTCTTTTATTTTTTATCGATTTCGCTTTATTTGATTGCGATTGAATTTGTTTTGACTAAGTTTTAGGTTTTGTTGGGGAGGGTCGTAGTGAGAATCCTTCGTAGAATGAGAACTTCTTATAATGAGAACTTTTAATCTCATCCTTTCGTTTATTGTAATCATCGGTGATGATTAACATGGATCATATTCATAATTACCCAAAATTCAAATGAGGCCTTTTTGCAAATTAATGCTAGGCAATTACAAAAATGCCACCTTAAATAACGGTTCTATCCCTCCCCTCGTATCCAGCCTTCTCTGTACCCAGTAACAATGGCTGCTATGCTAAACCTCCAAACCACAACCGTATACTATCTCTTATCTTCATCTCTATTGATTAAGAAGTTTCCTCCACCGCAATTCCAATGCACACCGCTATCATTCACCAGAAAGAGATCTGTATTCCTCTCGCCTCCATATCCTTCTCTCCACAACGTATCCCACCCCTCGGCCCTGGTAAAAGACCAGGAAGAACCAGTCATCGGGGATTGTGTGGTCTTCGAAGAAGGTGTTTTCGACGATCCTTTTTTCCATCAGAAAATGGTTGAACCCCTAAGAAGACGCGATGTCTCTAGACAGAGGAGCAATTCGGGCAAAGTGGAGCCCGAGAATCTCATTCCGGAGGACTGGGCTGATGTTCAAAAGGAAATCAATATTACGAAGAAGGAAAAGAGGAGGCTGGCGAGGGAATCAGAATTCGGTAGCCGCGTGGAGAAGAGGAGGATTGGGCTGAGACCAATTGGCAGGGCTAGGGCTGACGTAAAGGATTACTCGAGAGTAGTAGAAGAAAAGCTGAAGAAACTAAAACCAATTGTACTTGATAATCCCGTGTTTCCTGAAGCGGAAGATGAAGGAAATTGTGAGAAAAGTGACGAAGAGTGCTCAGTTTCAAGTGTCTCCAATACCAGAGTAGAGCCGAGGAACCCTAGACAAGCTGTGGATGGTGCTGATTTGGATGATATAAGAGAGTTCTTCAATGGAGAGAATTATGAGCCTAGCTGCAAAAGTAAATCAGAAGAAGGTATTGTTAATCTTTGGTCTCCCTGTCTCTTCGTTTTCTGTGAATACGTTACATGCTGCGCTATCCTATCCATACTAGGCCAGGAAAACCCACACTCGAAAGACTAGCCGATTAAGAAGAGGGGACACTAGCTTATAAGCTACCTATCATTACAAATACTTTGAGATGCCTATTCTCAAACTCTTTTGACTATTTGAGATTAAGACTTGGATGTTGTAGTTGTACTTATCGTTTTCAAATAAATAGAGAGTAGTTGTTTAGCAGTTGTGTTTTAAAAAAGCCATTTTTAGAGTAAATGTGCATTTGAAGCTTTGAAGCTGATAGTGTGAAAGTGTATATTTGTGTGCGTGTATGAGTGAGTGTGTGAGAGAGAGAGAGTTTGTGTGACTGTGTACAACTGTATTGGCAGTTTGGCACTCGTGATGGATTCCATCAATGTGATGAAAATGTATGCTAACTGATAAGTTTATCAAAACTCTGGTAAGATGCATTGCACATCTTGGGGAGCTTTATATCACTGATTCTTGCCGCAACAACGGTTTGCACTCTAGTAGCAACACCCAAGGGTTTGCAAGGGAAAAACGTAATATTGGATGCCTCCATGTTCCATTTCTACACTTGATGTTCATTGTCTTTGATTATATTGGCCGGCCAATAGGTAATCTTTTTCTTCAAACTTTTCTCGGATCAGTAAAAAAGGCTATGAGTTTCAAACCCTTATCCCATTTCTACCCTTTTATCCCTTTCGGACCCTCATAGAGTATATAGACTCGGATCCCCGGGTCTCACGACTATTGGACCCAGACAGCGGCCCACGTACACTCAGTTGATAGCATTTTCATTATTGTACATTATTATTATTATTCAGGTGTTCTAGATTAGCCTTTTATATTATCAGTCCATTTATGTAACCGGGTCTGTCAGACCCATATTAGAGGCCCAGACCCGGATATTCTTCTATATATACTCCCTTAGGGAGTTCTTGTAAACCTAATAAAACAATTCACTATTCATTCATCTTCTTCCTCCAATTATCTAGCTCAATCTCTCCATTTTAATATACTTGGATACCTATAATCCATCAATGGTGCTTTCATTGAAAGATTAGAGCAAAATCAAGTTAGATTCCTCCCAAAATCTCCAAAAAAACTCATCCAAATCACAAGAAATCAAACAAAAATGTTCTGAAAAAAAAAGCAACGAACAACATCTGGGTTTCCAAGAATTTGCCGGAACTGGCATCACTGTGCAAGCCCCCAGTGTGCGCCATTCGTTCTCCGCCAGCCCGAGGTGAGGAAGAAGGATTTCTGAAAGTTCCTGGATCCACTACTCTAGGCCTGGTCCAGCCGCAGGGAGCTGGTCAGCTGGAGTTTGCTGCGCTATTCCAGGTCTCGCCCTCTTCTTCAATCGCCTCGCGCAGCTTTATGAGCTTCCATTAATGGTCGTTGGGAAGCTCCGCACTCCAACCATAAGCTGGCGTGGAGAGAACGCGGCCCATCGCTGCAGAGAACCAGAACTCGCCGGTCAAAGGCGCCCCAAGACGAGCTCCGCCGCTCCCATCACCAAGGCGTCCGATTCGCTCGCCATAGCTAATAGGGAAATCTGGTTAACCTTCGGACGAAGTGCTCCGAGCTGACGACGGTATCTCCTCTATTTCCGGCGGCATCAGGACACGATGCATCTCCTCGGCCCAGCCCTTCGCACGCCATCAGCTCAGCGCCTCAGCAGAGTGGAGGTCCTCTTTTCTTCCAGACCTAGATGCTGCGGACAGTAGGCATGGGCCTTCACAATGGTCAGTAGGCTTCCACAATTTAAAACGGCCCAAGGAGTTCTACCGCATGCTATTCATTCCAGCCCACAATATTCTGGCCCAAATAAAAAAGCTAAGTGCCCAATACTCCTATTTATACACTTAAAATATTTATTAAATGATAATAGTATAATTATTACTATTATTAATTATATTATTTCCACCACCATTATGGCGGGTTAAAACCCCCCGAGGTGGTGAAGACCATTATGAGGGATTAAAATTCCCCGAGGTCGCTAATGATGCATTATTATTGGCATTACTATTTTTATCATCGTCATTAGAGCGGGTCAAAAAACCCCAAAGTGGTGGACCCAAGCTCTAGTCTACCGAACATCTTTATTTGATGATTTGAATTATATTTGGGTCATTCGACCTACCCTAGCCACCTTTATTTGGTGAGTCGGGCATCTAAAAATGAGAGCCGCTACCGGCCGCACATGGCATTATGCCCGAGAGCGGTAAACCGTACACCTCGTTATCCGAGACGCTAATCGCGTCGCCCAAAAGCCGTTGCCATGAACAACACACCTATTGTATTCCACTTATTTTTTGGAAATGTAAATAGAAGATACCACGTGTCGTATCAGCAGCCTTCGAGCGAAAGGCTCAGGTCTGCTCCACTTTGTATTTTGTATCAGCCAAAGGCTCAGGCCCAGCTGAGAGAGCACGTCGTATCGGCCCCTTAGAGCGAAACGCTCGGGCAGGGCCGACGATGTCCCCAGGACGACGGGCCCGCAAACGGCCCACGTCTAGAATTGGGAAGTTCACCGCGTCGTCCACGCACCCGATCGCAGGACGACAGGCCTAAAATCATGGCCGAGGTGACAAAATCCCCAAACTCAGGGTCGGACAACGGCAGCCGTTGGAAACCAACCAAAAGTCTAGCTCGCGTCATAAATAGGCGACGGGACCCCCCCTGAGATCACGGACGTTATAAACGAAGTCCGAACCGGCCGAAGGACTAGCGACCCCTTCGGCCGAAGCCTGAAAGAAGGACACTCCCTGAAATGGGGAACGGAATCAAAAAAAGGAAAAGAAAGGGAAAAATAAAAAATAAAAGAGGGAAGCCGAGGACCGCGCGCACTCGCTGGCCTCGAGCAACAAAAAATGAAATCCCCACAACAATACTAAGTACATATCAGGCAAATACTACACATTATGGACGAAGCAAGACCATACATGCGGATTAGACGAGCGCCCAGCGCCGTCCATCATTTTCAGACGAGCGCCCAGCGCCGTCCCTCATTTTCAGACGAGCGCCCAACGCCGTCCATCATCTCAGACGAGCGCCCAGCGCCGTCCATCATCTCAGACGAGCGCCCAACGCCGTCCATCATCTTAGACGAGCGCCCAGCGCCGTCCCTCATCTTAGACGAGCGTCCAGCGCCGTCCCTCATCTTAGACGAGCGCCCTGCGCCGTCCTTCATTCTTAGACGAGCGCCCAGCGCCGTCCTTCATTCTTAGACGAGCGCCCAGCGCCGTCCCTCATTTTTTAGACGAGCGCCCAGCGCCGTCCCTCATTTTCAGACGAGCGCCCAGCGCCGTCCATCATCTCAGACGAGCGCCCAGCGCCGTCCCTCATTTTCAGACGAGCGCCCAGCGCTGTCCCTCATCTCAGACGAGCGCCCAGCGCCGTCCATCATCTCAGACGAGCGCCCAACGCCGTCCATCATCTTAGACGAGCGCCCAACGCCGTCCCTCATCTTAGACGAGCGCCCAGCGCCGTCCCTCATCTTAGACGAGTGCCCTGCGCCGTCCTTCATTCTTAGACGAGCGCCCAGCGCCGTCCCTCATTTTTTAGACGAGCGCCCAGCGCTGTCCTTCATTCTTAGACGAGCGCCCAGCGTCGTCCCTCATTTTTTAGACGAGCGCCCAACGCCGTCCCTCATTTTCAGACGAGCGCCCAACGCCGTCCATCATCTCAGACGAGCGCCCAGCGCCGTCCCTCATTTTCAGACGAGCGCCCAGCACTGTCCCTCATCTCAGACGAGCGCCCAGCGCCGTCCATCATCTCACACGAGCGCCCAGCGCCGTCCATCATCTTAGACGAGCGCCCAGCGCCGTCCCTCATCTTAGACGAGCGCCCAACGCCGTCCCTCATCTTAGACGAGCGCCCTGCGCCGTCCTTCATTCTTAGACGAGCGCCCAACGCCGTCCCTCATTTTTTAGACGAGCGCCCAGCGCCGTCCCTCATATTCAGACGAGCGCCCAGCGCCGTCTATCATCTCAGACGAGCGCCTAGCGCCGTCCATCATCTTAGACGAGCGCCCAGCGCCGTCCCTCATTTTCAGACGAGCGCCCAGCGCCGTCCCTCATTTTCAGACGAGCGCCCAACGCCGTCCCTCATTTTCAGACGAGCGCCCAGCGCCGTCCCTCATCTCAGACGAGCGCCCAGCGCCGTCCCTCATCTTCGGACCAGCTCCACCGTCCTACATGTTCAGTCCGGCGCCAACGCCTTGCCACGTCATCATATTATAGGACCGGCTCCTCATCGCCGTTGTCCTCACATCACGACCGGCCCCTCGGCCTCGGCGTGATCATCTATCTCAAGATCGGCTTCCTCAGCGCCGCGAGTCTTGAGCCAGTGATCGGGCTCGCCATCCCTTCCCGGATGGTGACCATCGCCTCTATATGACGATCGGCTTCACCATCGCATCGTCATCATATTATAGGACCGACTCCTCATCGCCGTTGTCCTCACATCACGACCGGCCCCTCGGCCTCGGCGTGATCATCTATCTCAAGACCGGCTTCCTCAGCGCCGCGAGTCTTGAGCCAGCGATCGGGCTCACCATCCCTTCCCGGATGGTGACCATCGCCTCTATATGACGATCGGCTTCACCATCGCCTCGTCATCATTATTTGGACTGACTCCTCATCGTCGTCGTCCTCATATCACGATCGACCCCCTCGGCCTCGACGTGATTATTTATCTCGAGACCTGTCTTAGTCATTCCTTTACCGGATGACGACCGTTGCATGGATTTTTGGACCGGCCCCTCATCGCCGTCGTCCTCACATCATGCCCGGCCCCTCGGCCTCGGCGTGATTATCTATCTCAAGACCGGCTTTCTCGGGCTCACCATCCCTTCCTGGATGGTGACCGTCGCCTTTACATGACGATTGGCCCATAATGGCCTCGTCATTATTTATTGGAACGGCTCATCATCGCCGTCATCCTCACATCGCGGCAGACCCCTCGGTCTCAACGCGATCTTGAGCTACCGATTGGGCTCACCATCCCTTCCTGGATGGTGACCATCGCCTCTATATGACGGCCGGCTCATCATTGCCCCGTCATCATATTTCGGATTGGTTTTTTTTTTCATCGCCATCCGCGCATCACGACCGCCCCCCCGGCCTCGGCATGACTATCTATCTCAAGACCGGCTTCCTCAGCGCCGAGAGTCTTGAGCTAGCGATCGGGCTCGCCATCCCTTCCTGGATGGTGACCATCACCCTTATATGACGATCGGCTTCATTCTTGCCTCGTCATCATATTATCGGATCGGCTCATCATCTCCGTCCGCACATCACGATCGGCCCCTCGGCCTCAGCGTGATTATCTATCCCCAAGACCGGTCTCAGTCATTCCTTCATCGGATGGCGACCGCTGCTTGGACTTTTGGATCAGCCTCATAGTGCTGACGACCTCGCATCACGATCGGCCCCTCGGCCACGATGTCACACCCTATCCCAACATCGGCTTCATCAGCGCCGAGTGTGTTGCGCTAGCGATCAGGCTCGCCATCCCCTCCTGGATGGTGACTATCGCCTCTATATGACGATCGGCTCCATCATCGCCTCGTCATCATATTTCGGACTGGCTCCTCATCATTGTCATCCGCACATCGCGATCAGCCTCTCGGCCGCGACGTGATTATTTATCTCAAGACCGGCTCCCAGCGCCGAAGTCTTGTTATAGCGATTGGGCTCGCCATCCCTTCCTGGACGGCGACCGTCGCCCCTATATGACGCACGACTTATCATCGCCTCGTCCTCACATTTAGACCGGCCCCAGCGCTGAAGTCCTTATCTAGCGACCAGGCTCGCCAATCCCTTCCTGGATGGTGATCGTCCCCTTCATATGACACGCAGCTTATCATTGCCTCATCCGCATATTCGGACCGGCTCGTCAGCGCTGTCGTCCTCATATTCGGACCGACTCATCAGCGTCGTCGTTCTCATATTCAGACAGACGTCCACCGCCTCGTCCCCCTATTCAGATATAGCGAACATCTTGCGGTCTCCGGCTGAAAGGCTAAAGGAGCCTAGAGTTCAGTCATATATCGCTCTGTCATCTTTATTTGATGACGAAGAGCTCATCTACAGGCCCATCAGCCATATATCGCTCTGTCATCTTTATTTGATGATGAAGAGCTCATTTGCAGGCCCAACGGCCATATATCGCTCTGTCATCTTTATTTGATGACACGAAGCTCATTTACAGGCCCATCGGCCATATATCGCTCCGTCGTCTTTATTTGATGACGAAGAGCTCATCTACAGGCCCATCGGCCATATATCGCTCTGTCATCTCTATTTGATTATGAAGAGCTCATTTGCAGGCCCATCGGCCATATATCGCTCTGTCATCTTTATTTAATGACGAAGAGCTCATCTACAGGCCCATCGGCCATATATCGTTCTGTCATCTTTATTTGATGACGAAGAGCTCATCTACAGGCCCATCGGCCATATATCACTCTGTCATCTTTATTTGATGACGAAGAGCTCATCTACAGGCCCATCGGCCATATATCGCTTATGTCATCTTTATTTGATGATGAAGAGCTCATCTACAGGCCCATCAGCCATATATTGCTTCGTCATCTTTATTTGATGACGCGAAGCTCTCTTACAGGCCCCTCGGCCATATCTCGCTATGTCATCTTTATTTGATGACGAAGAGCTCATCCGCAGGCCCATCGGCCATATATCGCTTCGTCATCTTTATTTGATGACGCGAAGCTCATTTACAGGCCCGTCGGCCATATCTCGCTCCGTCATCTTTATTTGATGACATGGCGCTCTCATATAGGCCTCTCGGCCATGCATCGCCCCGTCGTCTTTATTTGACGACGTGGAGCTCTTATGCAGGCCCCTCGGCCGCACCATCGCCCCGTCGTCTTTATTTGACGACGTGGAGCTCTTATGCAGACCCCTCGGCCGTACCATCGCCCCGTCGTCTTTATTTGACGACGTGGAGCTCTTATGCAGGCCCCCCGGCCACACCGTCACCCCGTCGTCTTTATTTGACGACGTGGAGCTCTTATGCAGGCCCCTCGGCCGTACCATCGTTCCGTCGTCTTTATTTGACGATGTTGAGCTCTTATGCAGGCCCCTCGGCCGCACCATCTCCTCGTCGTCTTTATTTGACGACGTGGAGCTCTTATGCAGGCCCCTCAGCCGCACCATCGCCCCGTCGTCTTTATTTGACGACGTGGAGCTCTTATGCAGGCCCCTCGGCCGCACCATCGCCCCGTCGTCTTTATTTGACGACGTGGAGCTCTTATGCAGGCCCCTCGGCCATACATCGCCTCGTCGTCCTTATTCGACAACATGGAGCTCTCGTACAGGCTTCTCGGCCCATCGGCCTTACGTTCTGGTCATCTTTATTTGATGAACCAGACATCATATTGTGGACGGTCGCTCGACCCATCCCTTAATCATCTTTATTTGATGACTAGGACTACTGATCATGATGAGCTACCCACATCTAGAGATCGGCCTCGACCATCGCCCCAACAGACGGGCACCGTTGCAGCTCCATCTCCAGGCCGAAGGGTTCACACCTTTTGTTTCATTTTGGGGGCATCCGGTGTACTCTTTTTCCCTCATTAGGATTTTTTCCCACAGAGTTTTTCCTAACGAGGTTTTTAACGAGGCATCTCCCCATCGTGGATCAAAAGGTGTCAACCCTCGGCCCCCTGTTGAAGACATCATCCGACACGCATTACTCTACTCCTCTTCACCTCATTACACTCGCCTCAAGGAGTGGGGGACTGGAAGAGTGGGGGACTTAGCGCCTCCGTTAACCAAAGAAGCAGAAATTCAAATTTTTGTTCACGAAGTTTACTCACCAGACGACGACAGATCAGCACACAGTTCTACTCTCTTTCGCCTCGAATACTCTCGACTCAGAGAGTGGGGGACTCCTGATAGAGTATATAGACTCGGACCCCCGGGTCTCACGACTATTGGACCCAGACAGCGGCCCACGTACACTCAGCTGATAGCATTTTCATTATTGTACATTATTATTATTATTATTATTATTCAGGTGTTCTAGATTAGCCTTTTATATTATCAGTCCATTTATGTAACCGGGTCTGTCAGGCCCATATTAGAGGCCAGACCCGGATATTCTTCTATATATACTCCCTTAGGGAGTTCTTGTAAACCTAATAAAACAATTCACTATTCATTCATCTTCTTCCTCCAATTATCTAGCTCAATCTCTCCATTTTAATATACTTGGATACCTATAATCCATCAGACCCTATCATCATAATTCATAATTATCAGTTCCTTAGTCACAACTAGTTGGGGTTGGTGGCATTAATTTATGGTGCCAGTTACATCAACAACATTACCTCAGTGTTGGAGAGGCTCTCACCTATGGTGGAGTAGAGGGGTCGGTAGTACGCGCCTTATACCAAAACATAGAAAGATTGTTTGCGGATGACCTGTGATTAAAATTGTGTCAAAAAGAAGCGCAAATAGTTTTATAAGCTATTTTGCTTTATTCTATTTTGTTCTCAAGCCAAAAAATAGTGAGTCTTTGGTTCCATTGGAGATGATGGAAATAATTTATGATGCAAGTTAGTGGTATAAAATTAATTAACATTATAGATTCATGCATAAAAGCATTGTGGCATGGAATGTTTTATGTGGCAACCTTCATCAGGAGTAATGAGATTGAAATTATATTCTCAAACCTTCATCAAGATAATAAATTAACAGGTTAATTCCACATGCATGCAAACTATCATGAAATGGCGCTGAGTTGAGATTTGCTATTTGCCTTGTCCAATCGCAAATGGCTATACTTTACTTTATTCTGGTGAATTGATTTTGCTTGTGATTTTATACAACTTAATATCGTACGTAACTGTGTAGGGCGTACTATGTTATTGTCCAAGACTCAAAGGAGGACTTCTCATGAATAAGGAAGGTCCCTGATCTGGACGCCAGTTGCTACCTCTGGGAGTTCCCAACTTTTCAATTAAATAGCCTAATTGATTGCTTTAATTCACATGTTCACTGTATAATGTATATTATTCCTTATATATGGCTATGAAATGCTAGAGAAAAGCCTAACATAACCGGTTACATTGAACAAGCTTTATTTATAAAAAAACATGTATTCTGTTAATTAACTCCGATTGGCTTGATGCAGTGTACGTACCAGTGATGCTTTATCACTTACTTTTTCACTACTAACATTCCATGTTTCAAAATACATGGTGAGGAAATTCTCCCTTTTTTCTTGTTACGTACTCCGTATTTGATATAAATCACAACAAAAACTTAGAAACTAAATCAGACTACACCAAAAAGATTCCAATCGGACACAATTCATTTATTAAATTTAAGAAAAGGAGAGCTCAGAAACATAAAGATTCTGCATAAAACATAATAGTTCAGATTTGAACAAAACATTAGTCAAAACTCAAAAGAACTCCGACCTGATTATAAAGATCCTGACTATAAACTCAGAGGAATAGTTGCGCATTAGCCCTTGTGATTTAAAAAATGCGTCAAACATCCTTGTGTTTTAATTCTTCATGCATAAAATTCCTACTATAAACAAATTTAATTGTCAAATAAAAAAAATGATTAACATTTTTGTATGATTCAGAGATTTTGACATATTTACTTGCATATTCAATCATAATATTAGAAAAAGTGATTTCCAAATCGTTAAATTTATTCATAAAAGGGGGTTTCAAACATTTTTCAAATTCTAGGGGGCCAATGCGCTGAATTTCTATATCACGAGAGGGTTTGGTGCATTAAATCCTAAATATTTATTATGATGTTCAATCCTAGATCAGACCATACCAGATCAGACTTGGATAGTTATAAACTACACAGAGACCAGTCATTTAATAGACAGTTTAGACCAGACAAGATCAAACAAGAAAATTCCAGTCCAAACAAAAACATCCCTAGTCAGACTTTTGTGAATGAAGAGAGCTAATAAGACCTTTAGGAGTCGATTAAGAATTTAAGATCATGTAATGCTATAATTGCAAGTAAGAGAATGGTAAGGAAATGAAAACCGATGGGTTTATATATTCAACCGTGGGCCTGTAGGGTCTTGGGTGGCCCGACCCAATAAGGATATAGCCCATCTCACTAGAGGGAGGGAGGGCCTAGGCTTGGAGCTGCCAGCGATCAGGGACCAGGACCAACACTGTACCGGCCCGGACCAAGATCTTTACACCGGTTCCAGTTCTGAATCGGGTACCTGATCGGGTAACCGACGATTCCGATCTTGGGTCTCAAGATTAGGGACCGTCCTGGGCCATCCCGGTGCCGGTTCGGTCCAAATGGCTATTTTTAATTAAAGGGTTGGGGCTGAGGGGCATATAGATGTTTGGAACCGCTAGTAACAACTATAAAGCCGTTGGGGGGTAGTGGGTAGGGTAGGTAGACCTAAACTATTTTCTATAAATACCTAATCATTTTATTCATTTTTCCTACAATTCTACTTCTACTCAATCTCTCTACTCTCAAATTCTCAATATCTAATCCTACATTATTTTTTTCCCACTAAGATACTCGGTGAACATGTAACAGAAGATCCAAACTTGCAAATCCACATAACAAAGAACACAAGCATTAAATCCTGATTGAATCTCTAATCCTAGACGATTAAACTTACACTTTCATATTTAATATATTCATATTATAATTATATTTATATACTTATTAGACTATATATAGTTATTTTTATTCTATAATCCTACATTCCCACTCATACAATTTCATATTTAATATATTTGGTAGAATAATTATATTAATCCACATAAGCTTCCATGGTGCGTTCCAACACGGCCCTGAAGACCCTTGCTACCATCCGATTGTAGGTAGCACCGGAGTTCTTGAGCCCAAAACCACGAATAGGTAACAAAAAATGCCTTTGGGCATCATGAAGGTCGTTTCCTCTGCGTCCTCCTCCCAAGCTCCCTCGCTGGAGTGCCTTGGTGTATGACCTCAGCGGATCAGTGATGAGGCTTCTCGCATAGGGGCTGCTGCGGAGAACACCCTGGAAAAGGACGAGGAGGGTGCTATCATTGGCGCCCTCGACCTAGTGGTTGCCAACAAATAGTCCGTCGCAAAATGGTGGTTGCCTCTAAAAACACCTTTTAGAGGCAAAAACAAAGTGCCTCCAAAAAGATACATTTAGAAGCAACCATAGCCCTTTGCCTCAAAATATCATTAGGGGCAACCATGTTATGTCGACTCAAAATGTCATTAGAGGCAAGCACATTTTATTGACTCAAAATGTCATTAGAGGCCACCACTTTATATTGACCCAAAATGTTATTAGAAGCAACTAGTTTTAATGACTCAAGACGTTATTAGAGGGAATATTATACATTGTTTCTAAAAATCATTAGATGCAACTCTAAATGTTATCGTGGAAACCCTTTAGAGACAGCCTTAATGTTGAACTAAACAATATTGATTTAATAGCTATTAATCTATTATACTACGTCGCATCGATATAATAAATATAGATACCTACATCCCTTATACTTTAATTAAATATTAATGATACACTAACATTCAACATAAATACCACATATAAGCAAATGTTTTCTTGCCAATGCAAGAGAGAATACAATTATGAATATTCATTTAATAACTCAATGTCGGAACTACATAAAGTATTTGTTCAATCTAATCTATTTGAAATCCGTGTGAAACAAAACTAACTAGAGCTAGTAAAACATGAAGATGTAACAACATAGATCTAAAAGTTTAAAGACAACACATTAATCTAGAGAGATCATTCATAATCATCATGCTCCTCCTCCTCCTCCTCATCACCATCATCATCATCATAACCATCATGCTCATCATCATCATCATAACCATCATCGCTTCTCCTTTTAGTAAGCTCCTTGCCAACCTGTCGTTTTGAAATTAAATTGTATACAAGTATTTTTAAAAAGTCTAAAAAGTTATTAGTAGAAAATAATGAAATAAAAAATGATGCAATACCTCCTTCGCAATCAACTTAGAAAAATCACTGCCCATAAGGTTGAAGATTTTTTCCATAACACCTTTCATAACTCAGACTTCATTTTTAAAATAGTTCACCTCCTTAGTCAGCATTTTATTTTTCTCATTAGCTTCATTTGCTTCTTTCTTAGCCTCACTCGCTTGCTTCTTGGCCTCTTCAGCCTCTTTACACAACTTCTCCCCTTCGCTAAAAGATCCCATCAGTGATGTAATAGGACTTACTTCCGTGCCACGATCACGCCCACATTTACCTTTACGTTTAACTGTTTTGTAAATTTCTTCATCAGTCATATTGATTATTGATTTCTCCTGTCTGACGTTGCTCTACAAGTTTGTCCATTTCTGACTGCAAAAAAATGTTATATGCAATGAGTATACCAACAAAAAATTATACAAGTATGCAACATTATGCAGCTAGTGTGACTTTAACAACCAATCTAATAAACACTAGGCAACTAGTGTAACTTAAAATGCTTTGCACCTGCAACCAGCACACAAACAAGGTTTAATAAATAATTCTTTAAAAACTAAAAGAGCAAAAAAAACAATAAGGATGTGTTTTAGCTTACAAGTAAACAAGCCTATAGTTTTGGTGAAGATGAAGAAGCTTAACCAGGCGACAGAATACAGATGTAGATTCTTTAACCAACTTTCACACAGCACATGTACACACAACACATGTACACGTTAAATAATATGACATCAATGTGTATCTATGTGATGAAATCATTTCTTAAACTCAATATGATTCAGCATATGTACTGTGTTATTAAAAAAAGGCAGAAAATCATGAAACCACACGGTTAACGATACAAGAATCCTCAAGTTTGAGTTATTTGAAACATGTACAAATTTGACCTAATAAAAGTTAAAGCTCATTGATAAAACTCAGAATAATTTAGTGACTATAAGTGAACAATAGTCATTTACCATAGTTTCCTTAGCAACATTAGTCACCGGGGTTTCATCACGTCTAGTATGAGTCTTCTTGTACACTTGCAGCATGTCGGACATTACTTGATCAGTTTCAAACTAATATGAAAGAAATATTGTTTTATCGGATAAATAATTAAACAAAGCGGATAAATAATTAAACAATATGAAAATAAATCACATTAAAGAAATTTGTATTACCATCTAATCTACAACTTGAGCAAAACTCTTTGAACCAGCAGTGTGTCCAGAAATTCATTTACTCATTTTCTATATCAAAAAATATATCATTGTCAATAAAACAACTTTTTATTACACACAGACCAAATATATTATTACAGAAAGGGATGGAAAAGTCTTGAGTAAGAGTGGTAAATAAATACCACGATTGTGGGTTTTAATAAAATAATACTGTTAGTGCTCTCTAGGAATATAACAAATTTATAAAGTTAAAATGCAATTTCAGTCAATAAAAGTGCAGTTGTGAAGTGTACACTTAGCTAGAACAGTAAGATAGAGTGAAATATGTGTGTTTAAACAAGCACACACAATATAATTACCTGAAAGTTAGGAGACCCAAAGTACTGGACAAGCCACTTCCAGTCTTTTTCCTCAACACGGGGTGGCCTATTCTCTTTTTTTAGTCGTTCAATATCTGTTTCTTCCGTGTCATAATAAGTACTTTTCAACCTTGCTCTATAATTTTTGTATTTCTTGTTCTATAACATCTTCAAGAACAGTGGATACTATTGCTTGCTGTTTTTTGTTCATTCTAAACATCCTCGCAAGTGACGCTGGTGGAATGAAGTTTCGCTTTTTTGCCCGCTCTCTCACTGGTACAATTTGGGTCTAAAATGTTATACATAAAAGTGAGTGATGGATATTTCTAACAACATAACAACTAAAAATAAAAACAACTAAACTAAACATAATCACTGATGGAAATACCTTTGTGGCAGCAGGATTTGTAGCTTCACAATTATCACCGAGAACATAATCACCATGTTCCTTAAAACTCTGCTTAGGTTTCAGTTTTCTTCTCTTTTCGTTGGTGTTATCAACCAAACTACTCATTGAAGCAACAATACGTTTGATACCCAAAAACTTCATTTTGAACTTGTTAGATTCAATATTCTTGAGTCTTTGCTGCTCATACTCATTCAGCGGCATCTCAACCTATTTAGTATGTACATTTCTTCTAATAACTTTTAACATAATAAAGCTATTACCATAGAAAAA